GGTCTAGCTAAAGATAAAGGTAGTTTATAGATAACTGTGAGAGTGGGAATTCACTTTTATTTCACTGCTTCGATTAGACACTGTTTGGGAAAAGATGGAGAACACTTGACGGTGCACACTATTGATCTAGCAGTGAAAAAGGACACCCGCCGGGCTATGTAGGTATGCCTATTCCCCTTGGGCTCATAAATCTGTTATTTTACAGCCATTTGTATTATTCAATTTCAGGAAAGTGGATAGATTAAGAGTCCTCCACAAACTACAGAAATGAGGACGTGTCAAATTTTTCGTATATCTTTTGTTACTTCTAATACCAGTCGTAAAATCTTGTTAAACCTCATAGTTATTAGCTGCCTAGCAGTATGAAGAAGTTGTGGGAACTATAAGGTTGTGTATCCCCACTTAATTTCCCAATTTGTTTCCATCCCTCACCAATCCCGGGCGTAACACATTCATCGCCTCAATTATTTGTTCGTTTTTCTGGTTTTGTTTGCTTTTCTCTTGGTAATATCAACTATTATCTGAACAGAATGGGTCCTCTGTTTGTTGAATTTTGGCAAACATCATTTTTTGTTTTGAAGGAAAAAGCCTGGAAGGCAGCGAAAGGAATTAACGACGATGCATCAAACGATGGTCCTTACCACATGATGCCAATTAAGGTAAGTAGAAAATTTATTCACTTCTGCTTATTAGTTTCATGGTTGTGATGCTAATAGGTGCTGTAGTACCGGTGCAAAAGTGGAAACTCTTTCAAATCGTAAAAGAGAGGATCATTTGTGAGCCGATGTTCTTGTAGCGGTCGTAGTTGTAGTTTCGGGCACATCTCCATTCTTTATAACAATGATAATCACTGCACCAGCTACCATTCCTGCCCACAGTAGCCAAAACAGTACCACGATTGCCATTCTAAAGATGTGGAAATCATTCCAAACGATTTGTGTCGGCGACCGGTGCGCTGCTTACCTCCAAATTTTCCAGAATCTTGTTTCCCGTGCTAATTTTAGCTGCTCAGCGGTTAATCCGATGACCGTATTTTCATATGAGTCATCTGAATCTCCCTGAAATGATGATGTATCATACTATAGAAAAACACACCGTTTCAATAAACACTGTGCAGCACTTTTGACATTGCACCGCGATTAGCTTAATGACTCTTGAAACGATAAAAGCAAAAAAATAAGGTGTGTCGAAATACCTTCTCATTGAAGCTGCTTACTGTACTATGAACCCTTTTCGTTGTCGTAGATGACATCCTGAGAGGCAAGCGCATTAGTATCACTATCACTATTGCTGCTCTAGCTTTCGAGGCAATTGATGCCATTTCACTTGATTCAACAGTTATTCATGGCTCTCATAGCAACTTGTGAACTAATTTGAAAACAAGGAGCCTAGCTTGAGTCATAGTTGTTAAAAGGTCGATACTATAAAGTAGGGGCATAGCAAAGAGGTTCCTAAAGCAAGAGTTCTTATCACCCCTCCACATCGGGTCCTTCATTGCTGAATTCCATCCCTGTTATCAATGTCTTATCAAAGCGTTGGGTCTGTTTAGCTCTGCATGCAATAAACGCTGCAGTGTTTATGTGATGGAACTCGCGGTTAGTAGCTCGATTGTAAACTACTGATGAAGGAGACTTCAAGCATTACAACACGGAAATATGAAAAATCTATTTCCAGGAAGGGCAAATATGTAGTGTTTGTTCGTTGCCTACAAAGCGCGAAATTCATCGTTGATCTCATCCAAACGGTTTTGAGAGAGCTCCCCAAACAAGGAAACAGTGCTTGAGACCACGGTTGTGTGCGGTACCGCATGAAGTCCCAATTCCATTGGGTCTTCGTGTAGTGAGACCCCGTCTGTTGACATTTCCGACTTATCCCGTTACTTATTGTTCGACACATTTCCGGAGATCATTAGGAGGCTTCTATGTTTTTCGGAGACAATGCTTTGGCAGGAAGTGCAGTTGTTTTAGTGATTAATGGATAGTTTAAAAAAATGCTTATTCGTAGATTCAAACGGCTCCTGGTCGCAATCACCGCAGAACTGAAATAAGCATGTCTTTCAGGTCCTCAATGCCAAAACTCAAGTGGTAGCTGGAGTGAACCACATTTTCGAAGTCTTGTTTGGTGAATCGTCTTGCAAAAAAGGAGTGAGTTTATTGTGGCTGATCACTCAGCGTTCTGGTTCCCTTCAACAATCTAGCTCTACTAAAATTTCTACGTTAGAATCATTGCTGTTTTAAGAATTCATTCCATGCAGCCTGTTGGAATTATGTGAGGGGCGGGTATATATAAGCTCTGTTCTGTAGCGAGTTAATGGCTGAATACTAACTGTATTAGTATGTTGAGTTATTTTCATTCTTTTAGGATCTGTCTGCAGCTGAGCTGTCAGCAGCGAATTGCACGCCCCGAGAAGGTGGAAAAAGAGTTGTAAGTTTCTTGTATGAGAAGATAACTTTTGGGCGCTTTTTTGCATTGTTCTACAATCTTTTTATGCGCTTGTTTTTCAGATTTATCAGGTCTCATTGTGGGAGAAACCATGGCAAAACTTTGAGCAGTTCAACGTGAAGAAACTGAGAACTCTCGCTGAAGGAGAGCAGATCTAAACACACACGCACACGCCTGCACGTCTCCCGCCAATGTTGTATATTTTGTATTCATGTAACAAATAACCATGCATTCGAACCTGCATTCAATGTCTTATTGGTGTTATGTAATGACTGGCCTTTTCCATAAAGCTCAATGTCGGCAATAAAAGTCTCAGCAGTGTCATTAGACGTCATTTACCCTGAAATAAACATACCATTTGACGGGTGTTGAAACGTTAGATGAGCACTGGAAAAAAATTCTGTTCTGCGATCACTGATGGACATATAGGCAATAATTACTCGTGTAAGGCGGACCATCTTACCGAAACTTTTGATCGGTCCGTACCGTGATTTCGACTTGTTCCGAAACACAGAAGAATCTGCATGTCGGTCTTTCACTTATGGTAGACAAAGTGTAGGTTTGATGCAAATTAGCGGTTTATAGAAAATCAGGATTTCCACACGTTTGTAGCATCAACCCAGTCCATATAGCCAGTAATACAACACTCATATCAGAAACGACATTGAATGAGTAAAGAAAGGAATCGGTAGGCAGCACTGTCATCTTCGGGATCTCCGGTAAACATTCTCATGCTGAAAGTTCGATTTGGAGGTTCTTGAATTGAATGTAGCAGGCTGACAGTAATCGTACTGTAGGACAGGTACTACGAGTCTCTTTTACTTAGAATTCTCTCATTGAAGAATCCCAGTCGGTTAGCGAGGAGGCTACGTAGGCCGTCCCCAGGTGGCGGATAGAGGAGTGAGTCGCCGACCAAAAGTCGCCGGTACTTGCTCACAGAAGCGGGTAGATTCGGGGTATAGACTCCCTGTTTCTGCTGGGCTGGGTTGACATACCCTTACATCTCGCAGGTGTATCCACGCACAAGTGGGTGAAGAGTCTTTGTGTGAAGTAGGCGTCCTGCCAGTCGATTCAGTCAAAAGCTTGAGTTCGAGTGACTGGGAGTATCATGGAGTAAACCCCACCCCCAAGTGAGAGCTTGGTAAGCTACTCTTAGGTACTCATACGTAGGCTGCCTTTTATATTTTGAGATTTGGGAACAGAAACAAATATCATTTATTGGAAATCGCTTTATTGCATTTTAAAATTTTCCTTAAGATCTATACACTTTTGCATGGGCTCGAACCAATTTCCGAAGCACTTTTGCCACTCTGATGTAGGTAACTCTAAAACATGGACTCTGAGCGCATCAACGGCTTCTTCAGGTGTCGAAAAACGTTGACCTCTCATTTTATTTTTTACGTACCGGATAAGAAGAAGTCACCCGGGGACTATATGGCTGATGACTCATCAGATCGTTGTTTCAAGTGTCAAAAATGCAGTTGTTTGAGCCGATGTGTGGAAGCTCGCGTAGTCGTGGTGAAGAGTGATTCGTCATCAGCAGTTGGTTTTCCTGATTTTTGGAAGTCAACTGGCAAACAAATGGTGGTATACCACTCAGAATTGAATGTTCTGCTTGTTCTAGTGGTACGGTTGCGACATGTCAAGTTTTTCTAGAAAAAAAGGAGATCAACTGCTCGGAAGTGCTTGGTGCGCGGACAGCTCTTGATGAATTTGGCTCATCTTGAAATACCTATACGGTCGACTGCTGTTTCCTTTCGTGCTTATACGCATAAATCCATGATCCATCATCTGTTTCAATGCTATAGACGTGTTTCGAAGCACCGCGATCGTATTTTTGAGCATTTCCTTCGACCAATCGACACGAGTCCCTTTTTTGGGGGATTGACAAATTTTTCAAAAACAATTTTTTACAGCCAAATGTTCATGCAATATTGAATGTATGCTGGTCCCACCAATGCATAAGGTTGTCCCAATCTCACGATAGGCCACATGACGGTCTTGCAATATTCGTTTGTGCACAGTGTCAACGGTTTCCGGAACATCAACTGATTTTGGACGACCATCACGAAATTTTTCTCGAGTGAACTACGACCTCGGGTGAACTCACTGTACCATCGATAAACACTGGCCGTGGATCATCCATGCATTGCTGTTGAGTTAGCCCACGTCGAAAGTTGCAGAAAATAATCGCGCGAAAATGCTCACGGTTCAACCCCATAACTTGGCCCAAACAAAATCTTATGACTTAGTGTAAACAACACAAATCGCGCTCAAATTTCGCAACGTATCCTCAAAATAATCAACCTTTACGATAGTGATGTCAGTTGCTAGATTGCTACACTACTGTTGCCAAATCTCAAAATATAAAAGGCAGCCCTCGTATGCCAAGAACTGTAGTATTAGATAGTAGAGGAGGTCATACGAGGCCACATTCTCCAGGACGTGACGGGCCCCAATACGGCAGCGTGGAATAGGGCATCGGCAGGTTGCTAGAATTTCAGGGCCTGTCGTGGTTTCCGCCCGACTTCTTAAAGGGCCACGCCAGGTAGGGCGCGCAAGGGTCCCGGCGCGAGCAGCATATCGGCGCCTGCGCGTCGGCTACAGTAGCCTGGCCTAAAACATCCGGCAGTGTGTCTACGTGTCGTCGTCGTGTCCGGCTGCCACTGCTTGTCGTCATGCCGTAGAACTTGCCCGAGGATGAAGTCGTGGTGCAATCCAACCGAATGCGTAGTGGTCGACACGGGCATGGAAACCCGAAGGCGTCGAGGGGTCTCAAGTCACGTCACCCCCGTGAGACTTACGCGTGGGTTCGAGCCTCCCGATACGTAGTTCATTGGTAATTGTCATAGCTTTTAATTATTGAAGTTCTTGATGTTTCCTTTTGTATATGTTATGTGGTATCTTTTCTACCATTCCATCCTTTCGATTATTTTTGGCGTACTCGTGAAGGGCTGTCTTAATTTAGGTTGAAAGCTTAATATCGTAGACGGTTTACACGACGTGGAAGATTATATCTGGTTAGACCGATGTATAATAGGTGGGGTGTGCGTTGTCTGCTCCATATTGTAAGACGTAGCTCGCGTAAGCTGATAGTAAGGGTGATAGAGGACCAGCGTAGGGGCTGCAAGGACCAAAGCAACACCCCGCTGGCGAGGCAGCGAGAGCAAACGCCGCGTACACACATTCACGCCAACGGCGACGCCGCTCCTGAGCGCGGCGAACCCCTATGCCCATTTACGGCAAGGAGCAAGGCGTCACCTTCGGGCGACAGGGTGGAAACAGCTGCCTAAAAGTGGGACTAAGTTGGCAACCTGTACCTTCAACGCACGAATGCTCGCAAAGAAAGCGTGTATCGAAGATCTAATAGTGCAAGCTAGAAAGATCAAGTACGGCGTCATCGTACTGGCCGGGACGGGAGCGCGCGGCACATCGTATTCGAGACTGGATAACTGTTTCTTGGGATACGCGATAATCATCATAATCAAACGCTGATACCAATCAACATGCGTCAGCTTTGAGCTATTCTGCTTTTCCCCGTGAGAGACCTGACTCTCACTTACGTTGCCTTGACTGGCACAAGCAGGCGCAGGGACAGCCGTTATACGTTGAGTTAGTGTTAATTCCGCGCGGCCGGGGATTAGCTGCGATGGTGCGTTTGATAACGTGCTACGAGCCCTCCTGGTACGTTGTTTATCCCCTTGTTCCTCCCGGGCATGATTCATGGTATGCTATTATACGTAGGCGTAATGATATGTACATGTAAGTCGTAAAAGATAATGATATGTAAGTCGTAAAAAAACATCTTCGCACTATATCATCTCTTATGCTGCTCCTGCACATCTTGACGATCTTGTTGCGTTTTTTAATATCCCGTCGTTTTACGCACAGTTTATCGCGTAGCCAGCGTAGATGTGCGTTACCCGTCTCCGCCGGTCCTGCTGGCCGCAGCTACTTTACGGACCAACACATGTTCAACCTTATCAGTTTTGGAATGGGTGCAGTAGTTAATAACTCAGCCTACTGTCAAAAAGTCTAGTGTTAGTGCCACTAATGTCAACATGTCCAAAGCAACCACAGTTCGAATATTGGCTCTTTTTTGTATAACGCCACGGCTCGTATAAGACCTCATTTTTTTGTACGGCTCGACGACACCCGTTATATAACGACTATCATCTTATATATATTTAGATGGGCACGGTGGAGAATTCGGCGCGCGGCCATTTTGATCAGGTGCCCCCTTTCTTAAGATTAGCAGGATTAGTGTATGCAGTTTTGACTGTGTGTTGTATGTTCTCTTTCACGCCCAGCCTTTTTCTTTCTGTCTTTTATTCTTTGTTGTGTTGTTGTATTTAACTTTGTAGTCATTTGTTCTCGTCCCCCACTCGCTGTGTTTGAAATCGCGTAGCGGTGAGTTGTTAATCTGCGCACCGATTCAGGTTGTCGTATATGTTCCGGCGAGCTCACCGCTTCCTCTTTAGCTGCACACACTTTTGTTATAGTTAACACATAAGTTGTTAGATTGCCTCGCGTGAATTGTAACATCGTCTTTTCAAGTTGTTTTCATTACTATTGCCGTGTCCATAAGGCCCTCCACTGGCAAGCTTTCACGAAGTTTCTCTTTTAACCATTTTGCATAGTTTTTTTTAACTAAGTACGTTTGTCGATAGCGTAGACACACACCCCCTTCTTTCCTTCGTGTGTCCCTCAATGATGCAAACACTTGCTTTGTTGTTGAGCGCATGTAATTTCTTTATTAATATCATGCCGTATCTCATTCGTAACCTTATTTATGACGAGTTTCTGCACGCTACTCAATTAGACTTTGTCATGGGTTCCTAGCATCTCCGTAGTCAACCAGCTTGGCTTCATTATTTCATAAGGTTGATATGGCATCCTTGCGTACTTTATTTCGTCTCGTAGCTTGCGTACTCCCGTCTTAATGTAGCCCTTATCGTTCGCTTTTCAGGTAATTCGCGTTTATGAGGTCTACCCGTCTCAGCTGTGCTAACAGTCAATGCACGATGCCCTTAATGCAAAAAGCGAAAGTTAGAGCGAAAGAGAAAGGATTCCAAACTAAGTGGACAAGTCCCGCGCCCATGCATCATGCTCATCACGACGGCCGTTATCATACCATACATTGCAACTTTTGTCGAGA